GTGCAAGTTGTGTAGCAGAGACTTCAGCGCCTTGAGGCAACTGTTGTTGTGATTTGGTGCTATATAAATAAAAGTGAACTGAACGGTGCAACAGCATCACAAAGAGCAAGACAACTCATCCAGAAGGAAGGAAGGAAGGAAGGAAGGAAGAATGGAAGGACGGAAGGATTTTTTTGTTCCTCTTCCCATCACTTGGCTATGATTTAGCTACTTAGCTGAAATGCAGTCCATGATTGGCCATCATGTGGCTGAAGACAGGACAGCTTAGAGTCAGGAACAGGTCTAGTTACAGTCATTTTAGTCCTCAGCTGTAGGTGTGAGGCTGATCTGTCAGCCAATCGGCTTCCAGATCACTGCTGCAGAGAACATTTGAATTTTGCAAATAATTTCCTCGGATTGGACTGACGTAATGGAAATTGAAAAAAAAAAAAAAGAAAGAAAGAAAAGGAGCCATTTATCATTTTCTGTAACACACACACACACACACACACACACACACACACACACACACACACACACACACACACGCCTGCACTCCTATACTTGTGAGGACACAGTTCCAGTCTAAATCTCTCACAGATCAATATCTTGCTCTTCTCTGAATTTGACTCTTTATTACTCTGAAACCATTCAGGCAATCTGCCGGCTGCTTTACACATAAACATGTTAAATAAAGGTTAAACACACAAAGATCGCACACTCAATCGGCTGCCCTGACATTTAAACAATTACAGACTGATTATTACATTTCATTTAATATGAGTTTCTGTCACAAACTGTTTGACTGTCTCAGCCGGCCGGGAGCCTGCTGCTCAGGTTTAAATGCTGAGGCTCTGAAGCTGAATTTGTGTCGTGTTTTGTTACAAAGCTTATTGGTGACACAAAGTAATGGAAATTCAACAAACGCAAAGGCTACAGAGACGCACCTGCATGCGGAAGTTTTCCCAGGAGCGTCATACAAACATTCATCTCACAGAGAAAAAGGTAACGACAACCACTTGGTAAACCTTCACAGGCAGCCTACGTTAGTGAGTGGCTCCATGATAACCAGATGATTCAAGTCAGCATCATCACATCATCACAATAAAAAGTTACAGCTACGTTCCACACAGAGGTTCTCAAGCTGTGGCCCGGAGGCCAGCAGCAGGCCTCAGCAGCACTTAAACACATTCATATATCCACAGACAGCCACGTGCTCCTTTCTTAAAGCTCTTTTAGTCAAAACTCAGTTTCTTGGTCTCGCCTTGATCCAGCATGCAAACGGCCTGCTGATCTGATTTAATGAATGTTTAAAAAGATAAATGTAAGCAGGCACAAATATGACAATTACTAACATTAAACATCAAAATTCTCCGTTCTCTCTTGGCTCTTGATGGAGGCGGTCGCACTTTCTCCCTCTCCCTTATCTTTCCTGATTGGTTTCTCATGGCCTTTGTATAGTCTCGTGTATTCTCTAACCCTAAGAGAGTCTCCCAGACTTGTTCTCTAAAAACCTGAAGAAGAATTATGGATTTAATCAACTGGTCAAATGGAATTGACCCCCTGCTGGGCTCGGGAGAGCCTGATTGTCCTGCGGAGATGTTTGCTGTCGGATACTTGATGGTCCGTTGCGTCGTGTGTCTGGCGACACTCTCGATGGAGGACGCTGAACGACATCTACCAATTCGGAACCACAATAACAGAGTTCTGATCGGACCCGGCTTATCGAAGAACAAGAAGCGGCTACAGCTGTTCAAAATCCCACAAGGCTGTTCGACATGATAGACGATGGGCAGGGCTGTGAGTACTCAGACTGTGTTTACTGAATGCAATCTGGATAAGATCTTGCAGAAGAACAACGGGAATTGAGAGACCTGTGACCAGTGCCTCTTTCCTCATGTTGTGCATTTTCCATTGTTATACCCCTCTGACCTGTCTTCCCCATGTGATGTTTGTGTAATGTATGTATGGTCGGGAGGGTAAGATGGCACTGGCACGGCTGGCAGCCTTAACCCAATTCCCCTCGGGATGAATAAAGTATGATCAATCAATCAAAACCAATGAGCAATCTGCATTGTAAGACGCAGTGAGTTTTTTTCTCCTCTGATGTGCTGCTGCTTCACAACGCTCCCTCCAATCCGAAGTTATTTCTCCTGTAGGCCGCCCGAAAAAGTGACAGACTCAATAAATCAAAAACAAGAGAGAATTTAATTCTGTCTCCTTTCCAGAGAAAAACAATCAGCGTGAGGCACCGATCACTTGGTAACTCCCGTACTGTGCAGGGATGAAGGCTGCAGTGAGAACGGGCCAATTAGACGTAGATTATCCATAAGTCCCACATCCGAACAGTAACAGTCCCACACACACAAGCGCACACACACACACACACACACA